AGAATTCTAAAAATAATAAATCGGCAAATATTTTACAATCCAGGTGTGCAAAGCTCTTAGATACTTACCCAGACAGACTCACAGCTGTAATCGCTGCCAAATGTGATTCTAACATGTATTGACTCAGGGGTGTGAATACTAGATATTGTTGTATATAATTTTCAATACATTTGCTACAATTTCTAAAAACATGTTTTCACTTTGACATTGACTGTTGGAAAAGCTGGTTGAGAGAATGCCAAGAGTGTGCAAAGCTGTCATCAAGGCAAAGGGTGGCTATTTGAAGAATCTCAAATTTTAGTTTAACACTTTTTTGTTTACTACATGATTCCATATGTGTTATTTAATCGTTTTGATGTCTTCACAATTATTCTACAATGTAATAATTGTAAAAATAAAGAAAAGCACTTGAATGAGTAGGTGTGTCCAAACGTTTGACTGGTGCTGTATGTAATCCATTTTGAATTACGGCTGTAACAACAACATATGGAATAATTCAGGGGGTATGAATACTTTCTGAAGGCACTGTATGTCGGCCTTCCGCATCTGCGGGGGAAGGTGGCAGAGCTACAGCGGTGTTTGTCAGACCATGAGACATCCCAGAAATCGGTCTTCTCACGAAAACGTCTGTAGCATCCAAAATGAATACAACCACTCTATTGAAAGGGGGGACTCTTACGGACACGATGGTGTTGTCCGTTTTGCTCTATGACCCCCACAAGTGACACAGGACTCGTCCGAAGTCGGTAATGTTGATGTGCCAATGTCTGTCTGTAGCGTCCAAACCGTTTGGGCTACAAACTATTATGACCCCACTGTGGAAAGGGGAGACTCTCGCGAACATGATGGTGATCTCAGTTTTGCCCGTCTGAAGGTAACCCATACAAATGAATGGAAGTATGGAGGTACAGTAGTTTTGTGCATACAAAAATACAGGGTTAAATAGTCCAAAAAACGACAATATTTTATGACCATTCATATATCTCCTAGATATAGGACAGACACTTCATTACCTTATTCCTTATGATTTATTTTTTGCCTGTCCTTTTTGCCATTTCTAAATGTGTTATTCAATGCGTTTCTATGGGCTATAGTAGGAAAGGACAAATTCAATATTATATCAAATAAGTTGTAAAAAAAAATTGTATACCTATATTATTCCAAATCAAATAGCTAAATGATCCATGGTATGACCATCTTAAACATGTTCCATATGTTAGCTTAGTTAGCTTAACCCCCATCTGGGTTTAAACATATTTTATTGTACAGAGAGTGAATAGCTTAATCAATTGATAGTGACAGAATTAGATTACTTCCCAAGCAAAGTACATTTTTTGTCTCCTCGGCTATAGAATGTCAAAGAAACGAAACAATAATATTCCCATATGCATCGGAGTCACGTCTTTCCCTGGGATTTTACAGCTTGTTTCTAACAAAGCATCACGGACCAAAGCATTGTTATAGATCACTTGATATAATCGGACCCATTTTATTTTCTTCTAAATCTTAAGCTAACAAGACCTGTGCTTTTTGCAAGTTTCTTTAATAAAAGGTAGGCCTATGGCATACCCTCTCATACCCCCTCATTTCAAGTCTTGGTTTTAACGTAACAGCCCTTCACTGACACGGAGGCAGGCTATTTAAAGAGTGCATGGTGGGTAGAGGAATTTACCTACAAATCTATGGATATAGCAGCCTATAGCCTAATTTCGTCTGTCAAACAGGTAGACCTACCTCTTATTTCTTAAATAGGAAGAAATAGGCTCCAACACAAAGCCCTATTGTTGTTAGTAAAGTCTAATTAAAATGAAGATGGTTGAAATGAATTATGCCAACTCGAATTTGCCTACTTTCAGCACCATGAGCTGTCCATTTCCAAATTATTGTGCCGCGGCTGCTGCTTGAAGTTTCAGCAACACAATGTAAGTTACTCGACTCTGACTTATTGTGGGTTCCCGAGTGGCGCAGCGGTCTAAGCCACTGCATCTCAGTGCTTGAAGCGTCACTACAGACTCCCTGGTTCGATTCCAGGCTGTATCACAACCGGCTGTGATTGGGAGTCCCATAGGGCGGCGCACAATTGGTCCAGTGTCGTCCGGGTTTGGCCGGTGTAGGCCGTCCATTGTAAATAAGAATTTGTTCTTGCCTAGTTAAATAAAGAAAAAATAAAAAAATTGTGAGGTCAATAACTCTAATAAATACATCATGGCCAAGAAATATATTGTTTTTAATCCAATCTCTTATAGTAGTAGCAAGCTATCAAAGTTGACCTCCGATCCTCCTTCTCATCTTTGCGCTCTGCTTCTCAAACTGAACAGAACATAAGCTATAAGCTAGTTGGCGCGCAAGTGCATTTTTGTGAGATTTTCGTTCGGAAGAAGCCTTTGACTCTCCTCCTTAACTGCCACCGTAGGCCTACACAGCACAGCCATTGGTTAGGCAGCTCACACAAACATTTTTGATCAGCAAGAGCAGAGCAGGCTGGGGCTCAGGGTTGGAATGTCCATTGCAATGTAATGCAGCCTAGTTGTATTTACACCATCCCAGAAGCTATCTTAGAAATATAGCTTTGCTCTGTGCTTCTCCGAGCATGCACTTCATAGCCTATATGCTATGGATAATTTGATTGAGACCACACTAAATAGCCTATAGGCCCACTTAATATTGAGTGCCCAGCAGAGAATCAGAGATGAGGGGTGGCATCGGACACACATAGTCTTATAAGCAACTAATTCTAAAACACTGAGACATATTAACATTTAATCAATTACAAATTACATTACCCTCCCCTGGACTAGATTTAAAAATACTAAACCCTCCCCTTGACTGAAATTGAAAAAGCATGACCCTCCCCCATTTTCCTCCAGGTAACCATTCTGTAAATTTCGATCCATCCCTAAACTAAATCAAAAGTGGTTTGGCGCTGCCACACCTGATTGAAAAGTGCTGTGGCAAATGCCGCCTTGCCACACGTTTTCCGGTGACCCTGAAAAGTACAGTAAATGTAAAATGTACATAAAATCAACAGTGTAATATTTGGATTCAATTGTGTCATGTGAACTGTTGTGTCCTCACCTTTGGTCTAATAGTTTTCCCATAATCTCCAAACTGTTCCTTTTCAATTACTACAATGTTTATGCATATGAATGTCAGATTCCTTCTGTAAGAAACATTTCACTTTAGCCCTATCATATAAGCCAATTCCCACGAATGTAAAGGGTTAATACATGTCACAGATGTATGTTTTCTTATTTGTTAATGTTCAGCACTTTTGCTAATTCAAATAGTTGGTGTCACAGGGCCCAGTACTATGCTCTGTTTCTTAACATTTCTATTCTAGTGTTATTGCTATGGAAACTAAAGGGTTGTCAGTAGTGAATGTTTTTCAAACACGCAATCTTAAACACGCAACCTTCCTGTAGAAAAATACTTGGTATTTGTGTTTAGTCTAGATTCCAGTGTAAACTGTATTTTACAACAGGACAAAAGAGAACGATTGAATTCTTAACTGACCACATCAGAGGTCCATTCGCCTGAGAGATGGAAGCTGCTACAGGATGACGACACAGACGTATTTGTATTTGAACTCTGCATCTGTGTCTCCTGTCACTAACAAACCATGCATAAAGCACAGTTATTACAAAACCATGCCATGCTAACTGGCTGCCACTATGAATAATTAAAACAATTAATCCCCCATCTATTAAACATAATTGTGATGCCTTTGTAGAATGCACAAAGTTTTATTATTTCATTTAGGGCCATGACAATGTAGTTGGAAATATTAAGGAAGCAGTTTTTCTTCATTATGCCAGTTAAAATATCTACTCTGTATCTTTTTCCTGTTGATGTAATACAAGCTTTCTCAGCTATGGTAATAACATTCATATAACTGTAGCAACAAAATAAACAAATCAAATGTGAAAAGTTGGGAACATTAGTTTGTATGCAGTAACGTCTGCATTGGTACATTGTGTAATTAGATTCTCTTGTTTTGTAAGATTTCTGTCTGGGAAAAGCAGTTATGGACTAAATGATCAAGTCAAAATTGATTTTGTCACATGCGTCGAATACAACAGGCGTAGACCTTACCATGAAATGCTTACTTACAAGGCCTTAACCAACAATGGCTATGGCTATGGTTATGGCCATCATTTACCTGTCTAATGACCTAGAGTAGAGTACTGATCTAGGAGAGGAGAGCTGGGCATCAGTGATTCATTGGTAGTAATATTATACACATTAATCATGATGCCTTATTTTATTGACTCTCCCAATCATTCTTCACCAGCAAGACAAGTAGATAGAGATTCCCTTAAGAGAGAGCGCTTCAATGGAGAGGTGGAATGTAGCCAACTTGACTGTATCCTCATAAGGACTAGCTGCTTGTCTGAGATATGGGCTAGCTGGCACTTAGCAGGGACTGCTGGTCATAGGGTAAAGGAAGTAATAAAATAGACATCCTGACATGCAATGGTTTAGTAGTGACCCTCTGCATTATCGCCATGTACTGCAACATCTATCAGGCCAAATCTCTAGAAGAAGCCAAGGGGATAAATAAAAATGTTTCCCATTATAGTCTGAGAATTCTGAAATTAGACAGTTGGGTGGATGAATGACTGAAATGTAATAACACAGGAGCTTGATGTCCTACTAAAGCAACATGACAGAGCCTGACTGTATGTCTCTAACTCACCAAGTCTCACGGGAAAGCAAACAGTCTATTGTAGAGTATAATCTGTGTAAAGTAATAAAGTCATATGTCACTCAGGTCCTGGAACATGGTGGGAATGTTATGGCAGCTGCATGGTGGTCATGTAGGCTACAGTTCATCCACATGGACTTGATCCATGTCTCCCCTGCCTAAGACCCCATTCCTTTCCATTGGAAACAATATATTAATAATAAAATCTCAAGCTGAGGCAAACATCATCTGAAGAGTATATGTGGGCTGTGGAGAGTTAGAGAGTGTCTCTCAGGTACGTAGGTAAGGAGGGCACTTACTTGAGCACATGCGTGGAGCCGTTGATCTGTGTGGCCGAGCAGGGGGGCCCCGGTCCCAGTATGGATTGCCGCCTGACGCTGTAACGCTTTCTCCCACAGCAGAGGATGATGAGGAAGGCACGGCGGAAGGACTTGTTCAAGAAGGCATAGAGAATGGGATTGAGCATGGAGTTAATGTAGCCCAGCCACAGGAACGCTGCCCACAGCTGGTCGGGCACTGTATAGCTTATGAAGGGGTCCACCACGTTTGTGATGAAGAAGGGGGCCCAGCACAGGCAGAAACAGCCCATGATGATGCACAGAGTCTTGGCCGCCTTGGTCTCCGTCCGCATGCGGTGGTTGCGCTGGTGGTCGGCGCTGTCTGCCGAGGCGGCCGCGCCCCCAGCCCGCTGCAGCACACTGATTTGGCGTGCGTGCGCCCGTGCAGTCACATAGATACGCTGGTAGGCCAGTACCATCAGAACCAGCGGGATGTAGAAGGCCACCACGGAACACGTTAGAGCGTAGGGCTTGTTGACCATGAAGACACACGATGTCGAGTTGGCTGCATCACCGCTGAACTTCCGTTCCTCTATCTACCAAGGGGTTGGGATATGGTAACACCACACATATACCATACACACATACATACATACATACATACATTAGTTAATGTGACAGTTCATGGAACTTTAGTTCCACGAACACAGTACAGTAATAATTCTGAGAATAGGTCTATTACATGACAAGTTGATATGGATGAGGACCTTTCCATGAAAAAATTTGGCAATTAATTACTTCCATGGTAAGAGGATGAGCTTGTCAGGGTAGTCCACCATTTACAATGGAGTCCTGTAGGCTACTGATGATTAAGTAGATTTTCTAAACAATGAAACTTATGGAGGAGTGCAATGATGAACAGTGCACAAACCAAACTCCAATCAATGCTATTTCCTGAGCAGACTGACTAGGTCCAGACTGGGAAAGAACAGGTTCTCTGAACTGATCATTCCTCACTGTCCTCTATTAGCACCCTGACAGAACCTCAGGCCACTTTCACATCACATCTGTGCCTACTGCCTACGTATCCAAAGCCTATTGAGCTCTGTCAGGAGAAAATAAATAACATTACGATCGATGGATATACGTGATGCATATCTTTTTTTAATCAACAGGAACTACATTTTTTCATTGGGGAGGCAGCTTTGACTGGGCTAGCGTCCTACCCACTGGGCACACACTGGTTGAATCAACATTGTTTCCACATAATTTCAAAGACATTACGTTGAACCAACGTGGAATAGACGTTGAATTGACGTCTGTGCCCAGTGGTTAGCGTATTTGCTAGTCCTGGCTCAGGAGCCAATATTAAATTAATTAATATTGGTCTATCTGTTAAAACTTGTAATATTCATCAGTATGCAGACGCCACTGTTATGTATGTCATTGCCCCAACTGTTGACCAGCTGCAATCTGAACATGTTGCCTTACATGAAGCCCTGGTTGGTTTAAAACTTGTACTTAGTGCGGGCAAGACTAAATACATGTTGTTCTCTAATTCTTGCAAAATGTTTCAGATGGACTACATATTTATTCATTGGATGGTTCTCCCATCAATTGGGTTCTCGCCTATAAATATCTGGGCATTTGGATTGACAAAGATCTGATACACTGCATCCTGTATCAAAGGGTTGGCTGGCCCTCATTGAAGTCCTGTATTCCCTTTTTGTCTACAAAGCTCTACTACACAAGCTTCCAACTTACTTATCTTTGTTGCTAAAGTATAAAAGAAAAAGCTACCAAACCAGCTCGCAGGGTTGGTTAACTCTTGAGTTCCCTCTCGACCAATTTAGGTAAATCCTCCTTTAGATTAATGCCCCCCATTTAGTGCCCCAAAATGTTGGTAATCAGGGCACCATTTGCTTCGTGTCCTCAACTTCTTTAACAGCTTGTTGTTTATTTGTGGTTCAAAATAGACATGCATTAGTATATCTACTGGGCCCTCTCGTTGGATGAAGCTTTGGCAGAGTTACTAACGACTGAGCCTGAAGATGTGTTTCTGCTTGACCCACTGATTAGTTGAGTATCATTTCTAGGTATATAGTTGTGGTCACTTGCAATGTGTAGACCTATATACACTGTGTACAAAACATTAGGAACACCTTCCTAATATTGAGTTGCATCCCCTTTTGCCTTCAGAACAGCCTCAATCCGTCGGGGCATGGACTCTACAAGGTGTCGGAAGCGTTCCACAGGGATGCTGGCCCATCTTGATGCCAATGCTTCTCACATTTGTGTGTCAAGTTGGTTGGATGTCCTTTGGGTGGTGGACCATTCTTGATAAACACGGAAAACTGTTGAACGTGAAAAACCCAGCAGCGTTGCAGTTCTTGACACACTCAAACCGGTGCGCCTGGCACCTACTACCATATCCCGTTCAAAGGCACTTAAAGGGGAAGTTCACCCAAAAACACTTCTGGGCCCTTTATAACACTTTCCTAGTCGTTTGTCAGTACCCCAGACAGTTTTTTGGTCCATTGTGTGAGTATTTAGATGTAGGTAACAAGCTGATTCTACTCCCGCCTTCCCCATTGAAACCCCATGCAACGTCAAAGTCCATCATAAATACCTCCCAAACACACGGCTCTGGCCTCCCATGACCGCAATAGTCCTTGTAATCACTTTCTTGGCACAATTTTTCAGCGAACTTATTTCGGTAGGCACATTTTTACCAATGTATTTTATTATTTTATTATTGAAATCCAGAAAGTAGATTCATGCGCGCCGCGAGTCGGAACCCGGGACTTCCGAGGTGGGCGTGGTTGAAGCATGTAAACAATAATTTTCTGTTCTCACTCCCTCCCAGTATTTGCTGCCCTCGTGAAATTTTATTAGAGTAAAGAATGTCAGATCGAGAACTAAGAGGAACTTGGAGACCTGCCTTATTTTCAGAATGGTACTGTTGTGCCATATCAATTTGAGTAGGAGTATACTGAGGCTGAGTTGTTCCATTTGCGGGCTGACCGAGAAAAAGGAGCTAGAAGAGACAGGAGCGAGCAAATGTCAAGGAATAACAGGCACTTCCCAGAACGCACGATGACTGATGTGGCAGTTGCGGGAGATGCCTACCTTTACCAACAGTCAGGGAATGTCTCGGCTGTCCAGAATGCGACCATCTTATTCCGATAACGGAGGAGATAGAACATCAGACTGAAGATGCAGCAGAAGATGCGTAACTAAACACTCCGATTTCTTGTCTATCATCAATAGTGTGTTGGAGACTTTCTTCAGAATGCCCAGGATCAACTGGAAATGACGTGCCACACCTGTCCAAATGGCAAGCTCTCTGAAGCGTAAATGTTTTGGCTAATATTACTTACAGGATATTTATATTACTCTCTAAGATTAAAATAAATAGCCTACCTAATGACACCCTTCCAACGGTATTTTCGTTAATCCTGCCTATAATGTAACTGGCTACTGTAGTCCCCTTCAAGTTTGTCTGACAATGATGACATGCTGGCTAGGTAAACAGTGTCTAGAATGAGTGGATAAGTGCCATAGAAACAGAATGTATGTGACACGCACTTCACAATCTGGGTCTACATAAACAATAATTGATATTAACAAACAGTATAAGAAGTATAAAGTCAATTGTTGTAGTAGAGAAGAACATGTTGCTTGCAGCTGCCAGTTTATCTTTTATACCAATAATCTCCTAATTAGCCTGTAAACCCACACACAAGAGGAAGAAAAACAGCCTCACTTGACCACTAACACCGTTTGAACAATGAGTTGGCTATACAGTCTTCAAGTATACAAGACCAAGAGAGCCATCAAGTCAATAGTATTGCGGAAGGTAGCCTTTCGGTTAAAGTTTAAGGCCAGTAACCGAAACGTTGCTGGTTCGAATCCCCGAGCCGACAAGGTGAAAAATCTGTCTATGTGCCCGTGAGCAAGGCACTTAATCCTAACTGCTCCTGTTAGTCGCTCTGGAATATGCTTAATGATCCCTGAGCCTGTTATATTTTATGTTGCATAGGCCTAGGCCTATTTATTTTCTTGATTGTTGTATATAACATTGTCATGCATATATTTTCTGTCTCTCTTGACTATACAGACTGGTCTCTTATCGGATTACCCTGGAGTGGATGCTGAGGGGAGAACATCTAGGTGGAGGCCAACGACGGGTACTCCCAGCCTTTGTGGTGGCAACAATTACATCTAACTACTCTGACCCCAACAGCAGCTACATTAGATTCCAGGAAGTTAAGCATATAATAACATTTTCAAGAAATAATAGTGTAGTTAAAATCATTTTTAATAAACAATTTAATGTTATTATAAAAACATATAAAACAACAATTACACAGTATGCAATTGAGATCGTTCCACAGAATCCTACTCATTACTCCATGTGCTGGCTCACGCCTGGGAGTCAGCCATTGTCTTGAATGGATCAAAAACTTCACCCTGTGCAAAACACACCTACCTGGGCACCCGGGACAGATCAATCGAATCCCCTCATTGAATAATAATAAATAACAATATGCCATTTAGCAGACACTTTTATCCAAAGCGACTTACAGTCATGCGTGCATACATTTTTTTGTGTATTGGTGGTGCCAGGTATCGAACCCAAGTTACAAGCGCCGTGCTCTACCAGCTGAGCTACAGAGGACCACATAGAACGGGTGTTCCCATTCAAGACAATGATGGCATAACGGGTGGACTGCCGGCCATTGCGAGCGTACCCATAGGAGCAAAATAGTAAGTAAAAGTAAAAGCAGGAACTGTACCCTTCAATCTGTGCTGTGATTTGTTGAATCAACTCAACAAATTAATTACAAAAAATACATTCCATTGCATGAACACTAACTACAGAGTTCCAAACTGCCGCTAGAAGCAACGTCAGCACAAGAACTGTTCGTCGGGAGCTTTATGAAATGGTTTTCCATGGCCGAGCAGCCGCACACAAGCCTAAGATCACCATGCGCAATGCCAAGCGTCGGCTGGAGTGGTGTAAAGCTTGCCGCCATTGGACTCTGGAGCAGTGGAAACACGTTCTCTGGAGTGATGAATCACGCTTCACCATCTGGCAGTCCGACGGACAAATCTGGGTTTGGCAGCTGCCAGAAGAACGCTACCTGCCTCAATGCATAGTGCCAACTGTAAAGTTTGGTGGATGAGGAATAATGGTCTGGGGCAGTTTTTTATGGTTGGGGCTAAGCCCCTTAGTTCCAGTGAAGGGAAATCTTAATGCTACAGCATACAATGACATTCTAGACGATTCTGTGCTTCCAACTTTGTGGCATCAGTTTTGTGCAGGCCCTTTCCTGTTTCAGCATGACAATGCCCTGTGCACAAAACGAGGTCCATACAGAAATGGTTTGTCGAAATCGGTGTAGAATAACTTGACTGGTCTGCACAGAGCCCTAAACTCAACCCCATCGAACACCTTTGGGATGAATTGGAATGCCGACTGCGAGCCAGGCCTAATCGCCAAACATCAGTGCCCGACCTCACTAATCCTCTTGTGGCTGAATGGAAGCAAGTCCCCGCAGCAATGTTCCAACATCTAGTGGAAAGTCTTCCCAGAAGAGTGGAGGCTGTTATAGCAGCAAAGGGGGGACCAACTCCATATAAATGCCTATGTTTTTGAAATGAGATGTTTGACGAGCAGGTGTCCACATACTTTTGGTCATGTAGTGTAGCAGTCACACTGCACGCAGCCACCAATGATTGCATGACATGTTATTGATGGCGTTCCACAACATCACACTGCCATCATTAGGCAAGCTAAAGTTAGTTGCAAAGTTAGGCTGAAAAGTTTTGCCACCAGCTCCTCCTTGGTTGGTTTTTCAACCGGGGCGATGTTAGGAGATAGGTCTGGTGTCAACTTTGAAGTCTGGTCTTTTTACATGATCTGTTTATCTTCCCGCCGCTTGACAGTCTGCTGGACCAATCAGGTTCTAAAGTTGAATGTCAGACACTCTTCTCTACCCAGTCC